GGCAGATTTGGGGAAACGGGGGAAGGATGCCAAAGCTTTGGTGAATTGTATTCCAGTAACAACAGTGAGTCTCCGTGAGTGATTCGTTAGCGTGCCCTGTAGTTGTACATCTACGCTACCGACTCTGTTTCTCCTGTGATACACGCTGTATTGTCGTCCATTCAAGACTTCCAGGATCCCCGAATAAGGCCTGTTAGGTGAGGACTATCGGCCTATTCATATTTCCAAACATTGGAGGATATAGCCCAGTACATTGCGGGACGAAGTAACTGTTACACACTGCCGGCTGTCTTATGGAACTTCCTTGGATTAAATGCACAATACATATTATACTTGCAACTTGCAGGGAATCTGTGTGTAATCGTCAAGAACGAGCCGTAGACGACTGCTCATTCCTTGCCGAGAATCGCTCCTAGTTGTCGTGTTCCAGTAAGGGGCGAGTTGCATCACTAACTGAATAGACATGCCATATATTATGGTGGGTTCTAAATGACTTCTGCTAAGGACGGAGAAAGTGTGGTTTCGAGATAAAATTACGGGGTTAATCACGATGTCCTGAAAATCGTAAACGATTTGGCACAGTACTGCGAAACCAGTGTATTTCACAAGAGTGGTAGAGAATTTGGTTCGATCACATGTTAAATTTCATCGCGTACAGACCAAATGGAACGCGAACTGAAAAGTTGGAATGTCCTGAACTGCTGTTTCGACCTGGTTTTGTCTCATCTGCAGTGCGAATTCATCGACCCTACTGGGGATCCAAACAGGATCCTAGCAGGTAGAACGCAAACATACTACTCAGTTGACCACCGGGCAGCTGATCAGACCACGTAACTGGATGCAAAATGATTATGATAATTTTTCAAGTCCCGTTGAGTGATTCTGAAACCGTCCACGGAATCAGTGTTTACCTAACTCTTCCCAGATAACTTAATCATGATTAAGCTCATTGATCAATTGCATGTGCTTTTATCCATTCAAACCAGCGGGGCACAAGTTCACCAATCGCGAAAGTAGGGGATCGAACTCCCTTCCAACAGAAGCTGTGTTTTTCATCTAAGAGCATCCCCGGGGGACTTTAGGTTGGTCTCAACTTTTACCATGTCCCCTGCACTTCTAAATCGGGGAATGTATTACGTAATTCAACAAGCGGTTGATTATATCAAGTGCGATTTTGTTGCTTCAGTCAGAATGTTTACTGCTACCTCGATTGAGATCACCTGTGTCATCTGTGAAAATGGGTGCAGTTGAGTATATTCGTAGTTTAGTGTGATCCATGAATTACTGTCTAAAGATCGTACCTCTAAACCCACACAGAAAAAGCATATATAACATACCAGTCTGAATAAAGTTGCGCTGGATTTCCGCATATTGCTAGGCTCATTTTGGGTGAACAATGATTGTCCGGTGATCAACGGATTGAAGACGTGTGGCGGATGTGGCTTTTTACAATGAATTTGGCAGATATTTCAAATCTGGTACTCCTGTTTGAACGATTTATTAAACAGACACACTGACGATATTCGGATTCGTAAGAACACGCATACACAGGACATCATTCGTGTGATGTTGGAACCACATTATCTATAGTGAATCTCAAGATTTTATTACCTCCACTGTTTGCTATACTTCCCGGAGTGAGCACCCCTGTGACCAATGGGATATTGATCAGCCTTTAATTAATTACAAGTTGTTATCACAAGTAGCTGTCTGGTATGATGTAAAACAATATCAACTTGTTTTGCTCCCCCGGAAGTTCAGCACCAGTTCATGGGCTGCCAACCCACCTACTGACGAATCGTTTTCTAAGGGAATTTGCACGAATTGCGTGTAGTCGTATTCAATAGTATAATATTAGATGCGCACTTTTAAAAGTACATGTCTAAAGTGAAAATTTGGAGATCAAGCATGGTGCAGATCTGGGTTGCATAGAGGACCATGTTTTAACCTTTTAATTGTACTACTTATAAGTAATCATGCATGTTTCTCGAAATCAAATAACCCCCTTACAAATATCCGATCTGGAAAAACATTCAGTGTACCTACTCCTCGACGTTTAAGCATGCGTGCCTTTCGAACTAGTTGTGACATGAATCAACGACAGCTGTGCTCTGAGGTGCTGTCGATCGTCCATTCGACTATGTAACGGGCCATTGTAGCTCATCAGTTGTCCTGTTCAAGGGAAGAGTCAGTGTCTGTGGCTGTTCAAGCAATCACCGGTTAATTGAACAAATCGGATGGCATGGACAGAAGAAACAGAAAAATCAGTTCCACGGGTTCTGGCTGTACCAATCGGTTCTATTCATCTACGCATCGAGGGTCGGTTAATCAACACAGAAATCGTCATTGATGCATCGGTGACGAACATTAACGATCATGACCTGCCGAAACGAGCTATGTGAACTACCACATTATTGGCATTGCAGATTTATACGGATCATATTACAAATGTCCTTGAAGTGTGTCACAGTTGAGAACGCCACAGATCCGAAGAGGTTTCCTTGCTCGTTTTTGTCGTCCGAAATAAAGGACCATATTTACTGGACCCAGATTGATTGAAACAATTACTCTGACCTGGTGTAATTTATCCCCGAATTGGGAAAAATCAACCACGTGGGTATCTTGTTGATCAAGTTTGACTCTGTGTTCCAAGAAGGCAGACTAGGTCAGAACAGGTTTTTCAAAGTATATAGCTAGCCGTTCACCAACAGGCGAAAAGTAGAAGGGGGATTGCCACTCTTCAAAGGAGAAAACGTCGTTACAACGGCACGGAATTCAAACTGGGCAGTGCGTATTTTTCACCCGTCCGAAAATCGGACGCTCAGCCTGTATTTTATGGCAATTACAGAAGATCGATCAGCAACGAGACCGCGATGGAACATTATCTAATTTCGCCTGTTGAAAATCCCTAAACCAATGAGACCACATTTCCTAAACCTGATCTAACTAATTCTTACTCACTAGTTTAGGCACAGGAAGAATACCGAAAATGCAATCAAGAAACAGTCGAGATTACATCAGTAAAGATGAGAACGGTTTCCCAAATGGGTACCTGATACTTTGGAGCACGACAAACTTCGTGGCAGCCCACACCGACGAAGGGGCTCTTCTGTGTGAACCCTAACCGGGGCCTTTGACTCAAAAGTCTGACTCACAAGGCAGTGGGGCGTATATCCAACGTGGGGGCGTGAACGAAGCACCCATGAAGCAGTTTCTGGAGACCTGTCACTCAAGGCCTTTGAATTTCGGCTCAGTGTAATGTTCGCTGATGCGCTGGTTGACGGTCCGCTTTTCGAGATTGGCCCTTAGCTTCATGCACCCAATGAGACAAGTGAAACGTGAACTGGACAGCACTTTATTGGCTGGGGGCTGCCTAGCTTGGGTGGGCGGTAGCTGTAACACCAAGTTGACCCCCACCCTAACACCACGAGGAGGCTGAAAACTGTCCATCTTCAGTGCTCAGGTGATAAAAGGTCATCAAGATGGAATTGATCAAAGCGCGCTTTTATTTGCTCCAGTGCAACCAAGTAATATTCACATCATCTTGGCCTGGTATAAGAATAAAATGGAAGTAATGGATAACGTGTTCGGAAGGCTTGTGGGCATCTCGGCAGTGAAACAGCATAAATGGAAAAGCAAGAAAACGAATTCAGAGCAAAGAGGAAACGAGAGGAAGCCGAAGACCGATTGGTCATCATCGGATCTCCGGGACCCGAGGGCAAAACGTCCAAATGTACAATTGTAAAGAAAAAAATCCACCTGATCGTCACAGTGGTGTGCAGCCATTAGCTGTCCCCCGCCAGATTCGTGTCCGCTTGACTTGGATCCACAGTAGAAGGGGGAGGTGGCTCCGGAATGGGTTGCTTTGAATGAAATTCCACACGGTCTAAGTGATTCCGATTGAAATGAAACGCTGGCGTGACCCATGTACCACAGGTACATGGCTCTCCTGAAAAACAAAACACAAACGTTTTTTCACGAGCAACTTGTTATCGTGCAGTGTTGTAATGGCTGCGTTTCAGAGGCTGTATATAACTCCGACATGAGAAATAGCATGTTGCCACCAAGGTATTTATGGACATGGGAAGGCTGAGTTTGGATATAAACGAGGAAGATGAGGAAAACAGATTACACAGAACGAGAACAACATTTTTCATACACTTTTTGATTTTATTGTCCTATTTTGTATTTGCTCGTCTTTTTAAGGGGGAAGGAATTTCGACAGACAGGCCGTGCAGTATTATTGCCGATGGCTTCTATTCCGACTCAGATCTATCAGCGCCTCCAACCAACGAAAATCCTCATCTCTTCGGCCACAACTTGGTAGGTGAGCTGCAGTGACCGAAACTAGTGCCCCGCCCCTACGCGAAATCATGGTCTGACCAACGCAGAGATTCTTCCTGTCCTGCCCCGCACGTGTAAAGAGAGCACAAAGAGGTAGACGATGAACAGACATACCCAACACATGTCCGATTCATCGCAAGCGATGTCCTCTCCCTTAACATGGCCATCAGAATCGTCTCAGAAAGTGGACTTTTTTTACACACATTCGTGTGATGAACAGCAGGCGGGGCGAACCCCATAGTCATGAAGACCTGCTGCTGCATCATGGAAACCGGTAACCTAAGCCCTGGGACTTAGAGAGGTGAACCACATAAGGCCCCGACAGGTTAGGTATGGTGTTGAACCGGACGACAGCATAGCTGTCTGCCACCAAAGTTGGGTTGCGGTGCTCGAACCTCGAATCATAAGGCCCAAGGCACGTCAGTGACAGCGACCAAACCACTGCACCATCACTACCCAACATTGTCGAAATCGACCAAGGTACAGGTGCCGGAAGGTGTGAAAGAAGTTGACGCTGGCTAGTCTTCCCAGCATGTAAGACGTCGCTGTTGGCTCACACCTTGTGTTTGCTTACCGGCGACTAGGATGAGATGGAACAGCTTGCGGAAATTCTCCGTGGCGGTAACGCGTTCCATCTCGGATGCACGTTGTATCCATCGGATTTCGCGGTCTCCGCGTACGACTGAATTGAGTTTACATCGCTTCACGACGTATGTTTCATTTTGCGCGCTGCCGACCGGGATTGGTCAACGGACGTCGGAAAGGCACCGAGACTTAGCAGAAAGCTCGGTTGTTACGACATGACCCATCAAGCCTCAAATTCCCAAACCAGCGGAATGCAGAGCACTCTTGATGAGTGGCCAGTGTTGATTGATATAATCAACTGGTTTAATTTTTAGCTTTTCAGTTGGCACGTTTCGAAAATCGGTTAAAGCAATATGGCTCGGACAGCTTATCACAGTCCAACGAAGCTGAGTCGTGCTTGTGGAACGCCGATCGAAACACATGGACAGTTTAGTGCAAACTACGGCGTGGTCGGATTCCAGGGAGTGATCCAATACGATCAGTAGTTGATACGACCGGCCATTTGTGGCTTACAGTGATGTGGTCGAACTGGGTTCGCGGCTGACTTAAAGAGGGTGAACTTTATGTAGTGTACGAAAGAGGAATAGGTGATGGTCAGGGTGCAGTTGTAGCAGCCGATGCCCGCTTTTTCCAGTTAGGGGATGGAGTCCCGCAAAGGACCTCCTGAAAGAAAGAACTGGTGTATCCGAAATGAAGTTAAGATATGCAAGGCTTGGAGAATGTTCAGTCTGATATGGAGATGACAAATTCCGTGACCCTGCCCCAACCCCAATAGTCGATACACACGAACGCATAGTCAAGAAAAAGCCGTTCAGAACTGCCTTATTCGATTGGTATCAGGTGACCGAAAGAAATGAGCAGCTGCACAGAAAACAATCGTGAACGGGAGCCAGAAAGACAAGATGTTTATCCGGAATTACATAAATAACACATCATCATTGCCAGTGTGGCACTGATGTCAGTCTGTTCTCAATTTATGTTACGTGGAAGTGGACAAATGACATGGAGGGACGTGATGTCGAACACTGTGGATGGATTAATCAGTTCACCCTAGTGGGCAATTTTTTCTACACTTTGGATAGCCGTAAGATAAGTCTATTAACATACCACAGGCGGGACACAAACCATGCAGTTTAAAAGAACCCCACAGTTGAGTGATTTGCACTCTGCAGTGTTTCTCGACTTTTGCAACATCTGGTATACGCAAATCGGACCACTTAGCCTGGAACTAAAGTTCCTGGACTAATATGGATGCTACACCAACATTTTGACAGCAAAGAAATGATTCGATTACAGCTTATTCGTTTGTGTTCAGTTTATCTTGTTTTCAGATTGAAGAAGAGGCACCTGACACGTTGTATCTCGTTTACTCCCAACAGACACGAGCCAATTAGTAGACCTGTCTCTAGACGAGATATTGATCGAGGTGTACTCAGCTGACTGCGATAGAGATAGCTTTAGAAGTTCTCTGGTTTGAGAATCTACGGGTGTATACCGTGCAAGAGATAAACCAATTAGATTGAGCGCAAGAGTGAGAGGGAGCAGTGTTCGTCAGACGTGGGCGGTTTCTGGATCGAGTGGCGCGCATGATGTATTTTGGAAACAATAACCACTTCATTGATGAAAGTAGTTAATTCATTCGTGCAAAACTGATCAAAGAGTTTCTTTTAAGTTCTATTAGACCAAGTTTAAACGATACGAGATGACTTCGGTCGACCCGGGTGATCAACATGGAATTCTTTAGATGCTCTTTGCCAATCCAGATCTCTAAGCTTCAGCATCACAGGCTCCGATAACTCTGCAGTCGACCAAATCATCGGAATAATGAGACGGAACCATCAGACAACAGCCTATGGTTCACATTACTAGCTCTGGTGCACATATACACAGGTCTCTATCTCATTCGGGGTTTCGTTTACACAGTGGACTATCATTGGTATTCTTATTGTTAAGAGATTTGTCCAAACAGCGGTGCTCGTAAGGGTCTGTCCATTGTATTCGTTGTGACCTAAGTGCAAGATTGTAGTTCAATCAATACAAGCCTATTCACTCTGCTACAAAGGCCTACTCTATGCTTCAAAATCAATTGTTGGGATTTCTGAGCTGTAGCCCACTTATCATTACCACACACACACCCGCTCTATGTGATGGGCAGCGCAGTCCTGATTAGCCTGCACGACGACTGATGCATTATAGAATTACTTTTTATTTTTGTGGGCATTAGAGTTTGATGGACGAGTACCGCCAGGGTGTCCAGCCACTGAGCAGGAGAACGATTAGGGTTCTCGTCCAAAGCCCTTAGTTCTAACAAGAACCTGACAGCGTTGACTATATCTCAGACAGTCCCCCCTTCGCTCCCTCAGGAAAATTGACTGTCCCATTGACAATTTAGTACAGCGTACCGAAGATATCATTATTACTACTATTATTATCAGATTATTACAACTATCATCTCGAAATGAATGAATTGTACAAAAATCACCAACGGACATGTCTCCCGGCCTTTGGTTAACGGAATCACTGAGTGTGATCAAGTTGAACGGAAGCCAATTGACGAGTATGAACACAAATCCAAACAGTCCAAGATCTGACGCCTTTCGCGATCACGTTCAGGCTTGCTTGAGCAAACTAACTGGGAACAATGCAAATGTACACTCGTGAGGTGATTCATCGATTTCACTAACCGTAAAGGCTCCGGTGCACTCGAACAGCTCAAGCGGAGCGATCAGAGAATGTTCATATCCGGATTATCATGTTTAATACAAACAAGAGGTGTTGGGAATGGAAAGTACACTCATATCCCCCCCACACACACGTTCAAATAACCACGATCACGTGTATATACTCACCGCACCAATTGAAAGAACCGACTTTGGCGTGACAACCAGGACAGTAGAGCTGTATGTACATTACAGATAGAGGATGAGGGGTGGATGGGAGAGAAATTGGAAACCGATATTGATCATGTTGCCTTGGTGACCACCAAATCATGATGAATGAGTTGGAGATAAACAGATGCATACGGTACATGAAAGTCAGTGAGAAGCAAACTGATCCAGTCTGTGATTACACATGAGTAAACACGCACGCGCACAAGTCCGCTTATCCGAGAGGAATATCACGAAAGAAGTACCGTGTCCACTCCATAGTCAGGATGCATCGATAACGGCCGTTGCAACGAGACAGGGGATGCTACACAATGGAGTATTGTGAAGAGAACAGGTGTAATTTATTTGCGATTTATCGGTGGGGGGATTCGGAACTAGCTTTCATGTGCGAAAGTGGCCGTCCACAATGTAGAGAGCAATTAGACGTATCGATCAATAGCCATTAGTCTAAGAACAACGTGAGCGTATGTCTTTGACAAATGTCTGAGTCCAGTACGCGCATCGAACAAATGATGGTACCAGCGTGTCAACACCATAAGGTTACCTAAGACAACGGAGGTGATTTTTCAAGCAAGAGGAATACGATTCACAGATGCCGAGTGTCAATGAATTCCCATGGAACTTAAAAAGGAATTTATTTCATCCGTATCCATGCGCGTAAGTGTTGATCATCGACCGAGTAACTCGTGAAAAGGGGATTGGACTCCCAACTCGAAGGTTCATGATTCGAGGCCAGCCAATACATGAGTCCCAAAGACAAAACTGCTGTTCGCTGTACTTGCTATT